CCCCCGTCTAGTCCGTCTGGCGTTTAACAGCTATAAGCCTCCCTCCGCTCCACTGGACTCTCTCACTCAATCCGTTTCGACGCTGTCCGCACGCTCCAAACTTGGAAAATCCCTGCACTGCCACATCATCCCTGCCGCTGTCTGCTCAGACGGACCTCCCCCTCCCCTCATTCACATTAGGAAACGCCCGCCCCTGGCCAGCTCTAGGTAAGACGTATTCAACCATGTTTTCATTCATAATTTTCTATCTATCTGAGTTCGCTCTTTATGCTTTGTCTGCCTCTTATTCAGGCATACCTTATATTCCCATGCATGCTAATATTTCCACTAGCCTCGTTCTAAATTATTCAGGGGAAATATGTTAATTTAGTCTCTCTTATTCTTCCCTCCCCTGAAGTCGACCAGCAGGTCGCATCAGCAGGTGACATCAGTTTTCTTAAATCATCCGATCTCCGTCTATCAGAGATCTTTTTATTGGAAATTTGGCCGCATTCAGCATCTATTGCGATTACTCAGAGCTTCTGCAGGAAGCTTCTGCCCATCCGAATCAGTCTGTCCCCGCCGTGCACGCTTCATATATATTGTACCTCAGTCTTAGCAGCCCGTCACCTTACCACCCCTTATTATTATTATTTCTGATTATCGTCCTGTCTTCTTCATCCTCTAACGTAAAAAAAAAAAAAAAAATGACTGATGTTTCGCATCAGTCATTTCTAAACGCCAATTGCTCTCCTTGCTAGGTCATTTAATTTACTATGCGCTATTCCTCAAGGTCGCTTTCATTTCCCAGTTGCTTGATCCGGCCAATTTCCGTCCCTCCTCCTTGGTCAGATTACTCTGAACGAAGGCTGCCGTTCGGATCTTTCTGGTCCAGACTGCTTCTAAATTGGAACGGAAAAATCTTTTCTTTTTTTTTCTACGACGACATTATCTATCTCCTGACATGCTCCAAAATTTTTATGGATGCTGCCATCCGTAGGTTTTGGGGGTTCTTTCAGGACAGGTGGTTCGCGGGTTCATGGCCTCTTTTATTCACACCCAATCATCTGCTTGTATGAGGTCTACCCTTAGCTATAGCTTGCCGTCGTGGGGCCTTTTCGGGAAGGAAACGCGCTCGCCCACTGCGATAACAGTGTAGTAGTTGAAGCCACTAATAAGGTCAGTCCTCCTCCCAGTCTCTCATGCCCTTCATCAGAAGCATCACCTGGCAAGCAGTCACTAACATTTCATCATCTCAGCGCGTCATGTTTCAGGCATTCTAAGCACTTTTTCATTTCGCCCGAGGGTTACCCTACGTCCACTCATGGTTCCTTCATCACCTCAGGATACTCTTAGAATCATGTGGCTTCCCTCTAGTGGGTATTCTGGGCATTCGTTCCGGACTGAGCAGCTACAACAGCAGCTACTCGCGGGGTTTCTGAGGCTTCCCTCAGCTCTGGGCCGATGGTTCATCAGCCTATACCTCATTCATCCGCCCAGAACTCTCATCAATTCTCGCAGCTCAGCGCTCTCTCTGCCTCTAGGTAACTCTATAACAAATACTGGTGGTTCAAACTCATTCTCATAATTTTCTGACCTAATCTCGACCATCCTCTAACTCATTTTTCTACTCCCACTCTTTATCAGTTATCTACATTATTCCCTGCTTCATGCAGTCTTCCATGCTGTCTCCATGCTATATTCATGCTGTCTTCATTCTGGCTCGCATCCATGCAATCTCACCTTTATGTCAGGCATTTACATGCTTTCTTTTGTGTGTCACGTCACGTCTGGTCTGCGTCTTGTCATGCGTCCTTTACGCATTCTGCCATGCATTCCCTG